TCTAATCAAATATGCCTCTGTCATTTTCTTTTAATTTTTTCCGAATTTATGAGATGTATCATTATCATTATTATACAGAGTTTTACTCTTACTAGTGTGCTCATCTTGGCTGTTATAGTCACAAAATTTCAGATTTCTTTTAGGTGCTGCTTCCCTTCAGGATGTTGGCAGTCATGACTCTTCACAACTTCCTTTCCCTTGTAACACTAAGCTATGTTCCTCTCCTTAATATTTCTCCATCACCCTGTTCACCAACTCGTTGGGTATATGCCTCTCCACAACTTCCTATCCTTTGTAAGATTTATGCAATATTTGTCACCTATCTCTGCCACACCCTATCTACAAACTCGTTAGGTATATGCCTCTCCACAACTTCCTTTTCTTTTGTAGCTCTTTACTATCCTTCCCAGATCCTGTTCTACTATCCATTTTCACAAGCTTGTTAGGTGATCATGGCTCTCCACAACTTCCTATCTTTCGTAGATTTAAGTAATATTTATCCTACTACTATCTCTTGCACACCCTGTTTGCAAACTCATTAAGTATATGGCTCTCCACAGCTTCTTATCCTTTGGAGTTCTATTTGTCTCCTATCTCTCCAAAACCCTGTTCACAAGTTTGTTAAGTGCATGACACTCCATAACTTCCTCTCCTTTGTAGCACTAAGCTATGTTTTTCTCCTTAATATCTCTCTTACTCCATGTTCACATACTTGTTCGGTATATAGCCCTCCACAACTTCCTATCATTTGGAGCTTTATGCAATATTTATCTTCTATCTATCCCATACCCTGTTCACATGCTCATTGGTTATATACATGTCCACAACTTACTTCCTATTCTTTGTTTCTCTATACAATATTTGTCCTCTTATTATCTCTCCCACTCACAAGCTTGCTGGGTTTATGGCCCGCCACAACTTCCTGTCCTTTGTAGTTCTATTTAATATTTGTTTCATTACTATCCCTACCAGTCCCTGTTCTGCCATTCATTTACACAAGCTTGTTAATGACTCTCCACAACTTCCTTCCTTAATAGCTCTAAGTAATATTTGTCCCCTTACAATCCCTCCAATCATTTACACAAGCTGGTAAGGTAGGGGATCATGGCTCTCCACAACTTTCTATATTTCATAGATCTAAGTAATATTTGTCTCCTTACTATCCCTACTGGTCCATCTCCTGCCCAGCTTGTTAGGTAGGTGGTTATGGCACTCCACAACTTCCTATCCTTCATAGCTCTAATATTTGTCTTTTTATTATCTTTCCCAGTCCCTGTTCTACTACCCATTTACAGAAGCTTGTTAAGTCAGTGATCATTGCCCTCCACAACTTCCTATCCTTCATAGCTCTAATATTTGTCTATTTATTATTCTTGCCAGTCCCTCTTTTGCCACCCATTTACACAAGCTTGTTAGGTACGTGATCATGACTCTCCAAAACTTCTCATCTTTTTTAACTCGAAGTAATATTTGTCTTTTTATTACTTTTCCTGGTACCTGTTCTATCATTCTCATTAGGTATATTTTACTCACTGTTTTCTTCTGCATCTCTTGCTATCAATATATCCTGTGATTTTAAATTCTTCGAGTTCTCTTCCCTCATTATGCGTCTCAAATATTTCAAATGTCTATTTCTGGTTTTAATTATGTATTTCCTTTTAGATCCCATTTTCTTAAAAAATTTCTTCACTCTCAGCATCCTTCTGTAGAATCAGGTTTCTGTTTCTTCAAGGCTCTTCTTCTTCTGTGAGGAAATATTCCCTGTCATATTGGAGGTCTTTAATTTAGAAATGACACAGAATTTAGACTCTAAAAATTCCATCACATAATTGCCCGAGAGATAGATTAAAAGTAATATACTTTAGTTTAGTTGAAGAAGCAAATGATGGGCATTAATTTTCTCTTGTAATCTATTAAGGCTTCCAAGTTCTACAACTGAATTCTCCCAGAGGACACATGAACCTGTCAATAGAAATGTTCTTCAAACAAAGCAAGTTTCCTGGCTGTTGTGGTGTAAATGCACAAATAACATATCTTCTAGTTCAGTGGGAGAGGAAAGTAACATCCCATGAATTAATTCTATGTGCCAAGTCTCTTCAGGATATGAACGATCATGGTCCTCCACAACATCCTATCTTTTGTAGGTGTCAATAATGCTTGTCTCTGAGGAGGGACCAAAAAGGTAACGGGAATTGTGTCATATATTTTTATTCATTTATTGTTGCATGTTTATATTCTTATCACCTTCAAAGTATTCTCCATTTCAAGCAATGCACTGGTCCAGACATGTTTTCCACTGTTCAAAGCAGTCCTGGAACTCTTGTGAAGTTATGTTTTTAATGGCACCGTCGTTTTCTTCTTAACGTCTTCCACATCTGCAAAACATTTTCCTTTGAGGACTTTCTTCATTCGGGGGAACAAAAACGTCGCAGGGGGCATGATCAAGTGAATACGGAGGGTGGGGAAGTGTGGTCATGCCATTCTTGGTCAGAAACTGTCTCACACTCAAGGCGGTATGCGTTGATGCATTGTCATGATTCAACCACCACCCTCCACTTTGCCACAGCTCAGGGCGTTTTCGTTTCACCTTGTCTTGAAAACGCTTCAGGACTTCCAAGTAAAAAGCCTGGTTAACAGTTTCACCAGGTGGAACAAATTCTTTGTGGAGAATTCCTTTCACATCAAAGAAACAAATCAGCATCGTCTTGACATTGGACTTCACTTGACGCGCTTTTTTGGGGTCGTGGTGACGTTGGATGCTTCCACTGACTTGATTGCTGCTTCGTTTCCGGGTTGTAGCCATAGCACCAGCTTTCATCACCAGTGATGACCTTCGAAAAAAGGTCTGGATCAACTTCCAACTTTTCTTTCAGTTTATGACAGGCCTCCTTTCAGTCATAGTGAAAATAGACGAAAAGGCGTGAAACACTTCAAAACAAATGTGAATCACGGAGCTGTACATCTTCCCATGATGACACCAGTTAGCACACTGATGCCTGAGGGTTGCCTCAAGTGGCATCTAGTGGTGGAAGCCTGAACTACTAAGGGCTTGTCACACAGAAAACGATTCTGGTTACTTTTGGGATCCCCCTCATATTTTCTATCCCTTCATCTGTTGTCTGACACCCATTTGCACAAGCTCATTAGGTAGGTTACTTGCTGTTTTCCTCTGTTTTTTTTTATTTTGATGTGTCCTGTAAGTGTCAAATTCTCCAAGCCCACCTTCCTCATCATGTGTCTATTTCTGTTTGCGAATATATCTGTCCATTTTTGGTTCCATTTTGCTTAAAACTCCTTTGTTTCTTATGCACGCTGTCCATGATATTCTCAGTATCCTTCTGTAGAACCACACCTCAAGTCTTCCATTTTTCTGTAAGGAAATTGTTCAGCATTCACTTCCATATAAGAAGACTGATATATTACATTTCAACACTTTTTCTTTATTTCTAACAACATTTTCTTGTTTCTTAGTAATTTGCTTAGCTTTTTAAAGGCATCTTTTGCTACTCCAATGTGTCTACTGATTTCAGCGTCACATTTTCCATCTTCTATCAAAAGAATTTCCAGATATTTAAACTTCTGTACTTGTTTGATGTTGACATAACAAATTTCTACTTTACACCTTAGGTGCTTTCTCTTGCTGTTTTTATACAACCGTTTGTTCATCTTTTCAGTTAAAACTGTGTGTAAGAGGTATTTTTCCTTACCATGTCCCTTCAGGCTGTGGGCGATCATGGCTCACCACAGCTTTTTATCCTTTGTAGCTATTGGCACTGTCTATTTACTATGCCTCCCACTCCCTCTTCTGCCATCCATTTACATGATCTTGCTCCAGTAGGTTACTTGCTGTTTCTCTGTCTCTTTTGCCTTTAATATGCCCTGTGAGTGTCAAATTCTCTAAGTCTTCTTTTCTCATTATGTGTGCTTGTTGTGCCATCCATTTAAACAATGTTTTCAGGTAGGTGACTTGCTGTTTCCCTCTATCCCTTTTGCATTCAGTATGTCCTGTGAGTGTCAAATTTTCCAAACCTTCTTTCCTCATTATGTGGACCAGAAATTTCAATTCTCTCTTTAGGTTCACCTATCATCTGATTCAAACTCCTTTCCAGTCTTTTGATAGGTTTATTCCTTCTTTCCTGTTTAGATTCCGTCTAAAGTTTTTCCTTTCCTTCACTTTCACTTCCAGTGGCCCCTTGTGTCTTAGCGGCATTATCGCCTTGATTAAAAAAATAGTTCTTTTTGTTACTTTTTTTCCTTAAAACTTCCACCTTGTTCACATGCTTCAGTTTTAGCATCCTCAGCATCCTTCTGTAGAATCACATCTGTATCACCTTAACTCTTCTCTTCATCTGTGGGGAAATCATCTAATATTCATTTTCATTTACTTCTATTTATAGCACCATAGCAAAGGCAATATTTTTTTTTTTTAGTGGAGGGGGCAAAAATTTAGAACATAGAATTATGTTATCAAAGGCTGACAACATGGTTAGCGGCAAGAATATTTAAAATTTCCAGTACCTTCTTGTTTTGAAAGATTCTTTTTTCTTTATTTTATTTCGTTATTGTATTTGTTAAAAACTCTTTAAAAAATATTACAATTGCTAAAAATTTGTAGGGAGCAGAGGATCCCCACTCCCACTCCTGCTGCTATGGCCCGGATTTAAGAAGAATGAATTAACTAGTAAGAATTATGTGATATGCAATATCCTCTAGACATCAGAATGAGGGCGGTCTATTCAGGTGGATTGAATAAAATGTTTGGTTTAGAATTACAACTATGACAGACACCTGAAGGAAACCAGAAGCTATAATAGCTGAGATGGTATGACTATAACAACCAAAATAAGAACATTAGTATATAATAATGTCTTTTACTACTATTTTCTTTCTTATAATGACTGCCTCACCATAAGTGTCACCATTGTTTTTCTCACTTCCATCTCCCGCCTTTTTTCATTCTTTTTTTCATTTGAATTTTGATTTCTTCATTTGTTTTTCAGCAGTTGTGGAAGTGTCCTCTTGTGATGAGTTGTGTTCCAAATCAGATAATACAAATAAAAGAGAGGCACAAAAAAGGGAAACTGATGATGATGATGATGATGATGATGATGATGATGCTGAAGAGAGGGAAGACAATGAAGAAGGGGACGAGTACGAGGAAGAGGAGGATGATATCAGTGACCCTTTCACACCTGATGAGTTTGTGTACAGCAAACTGATGTGCGTGTCAAACGATCATGACTTTGACACAGGCATTACCTCCTTCACTCCAATGAAATCTGAGTCAAGCACCAGGCTTCAACAGCAGTTATCTCCATCATCAGTTAATGCAGAGCTGCTAACATTCAAGCGTTATGTGCCTAGTCCTATCAGTAGCCATGCAAAGCGTCTACGGCAAAGAAAGCTGGGCACCAGCACGGCCATAGCAGGAGCTAGTGAAGAAGAGCTCTTGCAAATTATGGAGAAGAGCTCCACAACGCAAATCCTGCAACCAAATCCAAAATCACCGCCTGAAGACTCTACCCTCTCCGATACAGACAGTATGGATTTTAACGGGCTCAATATTGAAGAGAAGCCATTGTTGTCTGTCAGGGATTCCTTGCATATAACCCAAAGTCATCACAGCAGTAAACTTCAAAAGGACAGTGATTCCGACAGTTGGGGGACACCTACAGGAAGCCCCGGTGCAAGCCCTGGAAAGAGTCAACTAGAACTGAGACCACACTCATTTAATTTTAGTAAGGACACTGTTTAATTTGCACTCTCTGAATAATGCTCAAACAATACTAATAGTTTATCGTCTCACTGAGAGTATGCATCTGTTCACACATAAGTGCATATAACTGCGAATGATTCTATACGTTTATACATACATTTATAAGTGTATGCACGTTTTGCCACAAATATTTCAGAGATTTTTTGCTGTTGTTCTATTTAGTTTGTATTGTTTTTATGTAGCCAGCATTACTTCCTGTTCAATCAACTATTATGTCATTGATCGTGTTATTTATGTAAAGCATCTGATATATTGTTTGGACAACTGAACCTTCGTTTCATATGCTTACTGTTGTTAACATAATGCTTCAGCCATTCATCATAAGTTCCATGTCTGGGGGTGGTTGTAAGGTTACCACACAGCTAAGGACCTCTCTCCCTACATTCTTTTTTTAATCATTTTACCCCAAGCAAGGCAGGCATGCCACTTGTATGCAGGGAGTTACAAGGAGTGAAAGTGAGAGAAAAGACTGAGTATAGGGAGGATGAAGGAAAGGACAAAAGATGAATGATATTCCAAAAAATAGAAGATGGCGATTGATGTTGCAATTAAATTTTTGAAAATTGTAGTTAGTAAGTAAACACTAGGGAGTTCCACAGATGGGAAGTGCGAGAAAAGAAACTGTGGGAGTAGAAGTGGTGGTTGCATTTAGCTATTTCAACAGTGGGACCTAGATGCCAATCTAGTAGCATGCTTAAATATATTTTGAGGTTTACGATCATACCAGACTGAATCATCAATTCTCAAACAATGGCCAAAGTTAAGAAACATTGGGCCTAGATGGATGATTCCTTGGAAATACCAGATACTGAAAGTTTGGAGGTGAGGGTGGGGGTAATGAAAGACATCTTGGAATTAGAGATTGGAAAGTCTGGTTTGTCATATTATATGGAAATACTCTTGGGAAAGGTATGAATCCATCACTGGATGGGTTAATTACTAGGACTTGTATTATTATCATCTCTCCAAAATTCTTACAATCTAAAAATATTTTATGGCTTTAAATAACCTGCAAGAGGTTGATAAGCTGTAAGAAACAAATCACTCATTCAATCCACATGTCTCAGTATTAAGGCATAGTATATCATGGGCAAAATAGATCTGGAAGAGAACATGCCTCTCTCTATCAGCCCACAGCTGATGTCCTCCATCTTGAATGCTCAGTCTGGTCAAGGACATGGATTCCATCAGGCAGTATCATCTGCCCTTTTTTGTTACAATGATTTTCACCCTGAAGAAGGCCACTTGAGGTAGAGGGTTACAGAGTACGTTTATGCAGATATGTGGGGAAGTTTATGGGGATATTTGATAAGATAACAGTTAAACCCTAGACTTGAACAGGTTAAGAATGTAGTGATCAGGGAAGCATCCTCTTGGGAGTTGGTTCCAACAAACAATGGTTCATGCGACAAAGCTGCTCTAGTGGAATAGAGTCCCATTTGCAGATCTGTCAAAACTCACATTAGTTATATTCAGCTATCATTCCACAACAAAAAAGGAAAGTTAATAATTTTTTTCCTTAGATAAAGTAATTACTTTTTTCTTCTACTGAAATACACTTAGTGAAGGCTGAAGAATGGATTGGCAGAAAGGTTGTGCTAATAACAGCAAGTTTATGAAGAAGAGGTTCAATTTTACAAATGGTATTGCCTATGCTAATGATTGTTCTTAAAGTTATCAACAATGCATTTTTCTGATTTGAGTAAAATTCATGTTGTCTCTCATAGTTTGGTATTTTGCAATGCTTTATTGAATGAGTGTACGTAAGCACTTTTTGATTCCTAGTCACTTTGATGTAAAGGCATTTTGTTAGAAAAATGGTAATTCCTCCATAAATATTCTTGCTTGATCAGAAAGGTAAGAAATTATTTAAACATTCTGTTTATTATTCTCATATTCAAAGTTATCGGTTTTTATTTCATTTCTGAATTGTTGAGGATTAGCAGAGGAAATCAAGATCTGACATCTGCGTATGTTAAGTTTAGAGTCATGATTGTCAATTCTTCAAATGATTCTAATTCATGTAAATTGTGGTATTAAGATAAGGAGCACATTTTTACACAATCTTTGTTGTGATCTTTCCTCATTTGCCTGATATTTATGCCAACATAGGTAAAAATTTAAAACTATTACAATCTTTAAAGTAGGTTTATATTCTTTTCACCAAAGGGACATCATTGTTGTCAATGTAATTTTTGATCCTGATATTAATTTGTGTTTATTTCAAATATAGAGAGTGGTTCAGATTTTATCATATTTAATTTTCCTCTTAACATTAAATTATGATTTTACCAAGTAAAGAGGATGGTTCAAACTTTATTATATGGTTTGTTTTCTTTTATTGTAAAGATTGAGTTACCTTATTAACATTAAATTATGATTTTATCAAGTAAAGGGAATGTTCCAAACTCTATTATATAGTTCTTTTACTTTTATTGTATAGATTTAATTCCCCTTTTCACGTTAAATTGTGATTTTACCAAGTAAAAAGAATGGTTCAAATTTTATTATGTAGTTCTTTTACTTTTATTGTATAGATTTAATTCCCCTTTTCACGTTAAATTGTGATTATACAAAGTAAAAAGAATGGTTCAAATTTTATTATATAGTTCTTTTACTTTTATTGTATAGATTTAATTCCCCTTTTCACGTTAAATTGTGATTATACAAAGTAAAAAGAATGGTTCAAATTTTATTATATAGTTCTTTTACTTTTATTGTATAGATTTAATTTCCCTTTTCACGTTAAATTGTGATTTTACCAAGTAAAAAGAATGGTTCAAATTTTATTATATAGTTCCTGTTCTTTTATTTCATAGATTTAATTTCCATTTTAATATTAAATTATGATTTTATTAAGTAAAGATAATTTCTACAACTTTATAACATGGATTTCTTTGCTTTCATTGCATAGTGTTAATTTTACTATGTTTATATCAACCATAAAGAATGTTTCAAGTTTTATTATGTGGTTTCTTTTCTTTCATTGCCTAATTTCCATCCCATGATTTCCATCCCATGATTTCCATCCCAAGATTAATTTGTGTTTATATTGAATGGTTAAAATTTGATATTATACTTTTTCTAACATAGAAATAGCTCTTAATATTTTCTTTACAATACGTTTTTATATATCTTTGAAATATTTTTATTAATATACTTAATTAATGGTTCTTAATATTTTATTTTTATATATCTTAGTTAAGTTTTTGTTCTACATTTGAAATATGTGTATTAATATTCCATCAAACCGTTAAGCAATAATTAATCTATATTGGTTTTCATCTCGTTAAGACTTTTTTTATAGAAATAATAACTACAGAAAATTATAACTTTGCTCATTATCTTTGAGATGGTGCTGAAAAATTCTTGCCCCAATGAAGATACCCTTCCAAAAAAGAAACTGATGTCAAGTCATTGGATCAGATTCTCGGAAGTAGTTCGGTCTGGGAACTTTTCAGCACTATGTTGTATTACCGTTATGTAATGAAGCATGTGTCAAAGATTTTTGAAAACAACTGCCTGTGTTCTATTCACTCACTTTTCCAGTCATTTGCACCCTGAATATATAAGAATGTATGTGTATGTGCGCATATTAGAAAAAGTGTAAAAACACTGCTGGGCTCATTCACTGACAAAATGGAATATTAAGCCATTAACTGTGGGTGATGGGAATATCTGTCATTGCAGTTTGATAGTGTAACTGCAAATGATGAAATTTCTACTGCAGTTAATGGGTTGAGTGCTGTAGCCTAAAAGAATCATGATTTCTTTTTAAAAGACGGCTCATTGGGAAATTTAAACTGGAATTGTGTTAAAGATTGGGAAGTGAGCATGAAGCACTCTAAATAAAAGATCCTCTGAATAATACGGAAATACTTAAACAGAAAACATAGAAAACAGAAGCCTGTTAATGCATGCTGATTATGTAGCTGCAATGAAAATTTGGGGCATGTGCTGCAGACAAAACCCAGTTCATATGTTTGCCTTCCAGTTGCCAGGATGAATCAAAATACATTTGCTACCTCAGAACATATACCGACTAGAGTTAATATGTTCATTTGGACTTTATGTATTTCTGAATTGAATAATATATATATATATATATATATATATATATATGTATATATATTTAAATCAAATATGTGGTACAGTTTAATTTATATTGCAATGAATCATTCATACAAAAAGTAAATTAGTAAAGTTAATGAAATAAAATGGCGAAATCACTTCGCTAACTAAATTTTAAAGATGCACTAACCACTTGGTGAATGTTATGGTCCTTGTTTTTTTTAAATTATAAACTGTATTAGGTCTTCCTTAAATACACAAGTACTTTTGACTGTTCTTCCGGTCATCTTCAGGCATGGAAACTATTTTGTTTTTGGTAAAATTCAAGTAGCATCATTAACTTTACTAATTTACTTTTTGTATGAATGATTCAGTGTAATATATATATTATATATGTAAATATTCTCAGATGGACTATATCTGTAGAAGAGACAAAATGAAGTATAGTTTTATAGTTTTTCTTTGTCTTTTCATTCATATATATATATATATATATATATATAAATATGTATAGGCAAGTTTCATTAAATAAAACTGACAAGGTGCTTTGATTAAGGTTTTAATATAATTCATATAAATTATATACAATTTTATATATAAAACATTCTACAATATTAAAATACATACATACAACAATCTATTTCCAGTTAACAGTTCTATATATTTCATCCTTGAAAATGGCTAAATGTGTAGCTGTAAGTGCTCAGAAAAATATAATATTTGGATAGTTTTTGTATAATTTATCTACTGAAAAGAAAAAATTATAAGATTTTATGAGAAATTATATAAAAAATTTAACCAAAGCATCTAGTCTGTCATATTTAATGAAGCTTGGATGAAAGAAGGATTGCTGCCTAAATACACATATATATATATATATATATATATATATATATATATATATATAT